TTTGCTCTCTCTGCCCCTCTCTGACTCGCCTTTGAACTTGCGCAACAGCTGACGCTTTTCCCGAGGGCGTGAAAAATGTTTCGCATTTCTTTTAGCAATCGCAGCCAAGTTGCTTCCAGCAGCTCTTTGCTTTGGCATTTGCACGACACAATCATTAAATAGCCATGGCCAAGTGCTGACAGGAACAACAATTGCAACACCAACAACAGCAACAACAAATTACAAGCGCACATTGTCAACGTTGCACTTTAGGCGACATAAATTTCATGTACATGGCCAGCGCAAGCTACATAGGGCAGAAATAAAATTAAGGAAAAACTTGCTCAAGTGCTCTAGTTGAGTGGGCATGACTAGAAGATGCCCTAGTTTGACTTAGTATAGAGTTGAGAGAAATACGTTTGCATAACTATTTGTATACAGTCTTTTCTAAATTATTATCTGTTATAAGTCTATTTTTTGCCCTCTCTCTAATAGAACCATTTAGGGAACTCAATACATCCACTGTATATCTATGGTCGACATTTATTTACGATGCCTGATTATGCCCAAATCTTAGTTCGCATGTTGCATCTGACCGTTCGTATTCCTCAGTTTATTACTAACTATAAGTAACTATCCATATACCCTGCTCGGTACATTAGTAATGGGTAAAGGACTTTATAAAAAGAGGCCCACAGTAGCCATGAGGTGTCAATGTACAATTGCTGCAACAACTGCAACAGCAACAACAATGGCTACAGCAACAAAGTGCTGGCAACACAAAGACGCATTCGTTGTTGTTGTTGCTGATATTGTTGTGGCATGCCAAATGCGGAGACGTCGCCAGGCAGCCGCCTGACAATGTTCGTCCTTCGCCCTCACTCGCTGCTGGGCCCAGCTGCAGCAACAGCAGCAGCAGCAACAATTTCTGCACGATGTAGCGATTTGGAGAGCCATTTCTGCTGTTCTATTGACACACGCGGCGTATGAGTAACGTCTTGGAATGTTGCCGCCGCGTCAATGCTGTCGTGTCCGTCTTCGTTGCATTCCGTAATTACGCAGCATTAGCACAACAAATCGAGCGAACAACATTGCATTTAATTAGTGGCATTGACAGAGTAGGTGAAGGGGCAACAGCAACAGCGCCAGCAGATGCCACAGCTGCAATGCAACTGCCACTGCCACTGCCACTGCCACTGCCTCTACAACCGGGAGCGAACATGTCAAGCTGAATTGTTCGCATAATTCATAATTGAATTGAAATCGCGTCTTGCGTGAAGGCTACATAAATTTCAACATTGTTCGTGCTACTGCCACTCTGACAATGAGATTGATGAATGCTCCCGCCAGCTTGATCAGAAATATTAATTGAAATTTAATATTGCCTAGGAGGACGACGAATATTGCATGCACAATAGTATCAAGTATAGAGCAAAATCTTGTTTGAAATGAAAGCTAATTTAATTAGCTAGAAAATAAAGACAACATTCTTAAGGCATTTTAAGTTTAAGCAGTTTAAGTAAATAAAATATCAGCCAATTGGAGTTCATAAATTTAAGGCGGAACCATTTGGCTTTACACTTTTCTTGCTGTAGTTGTTGCTGTGGTTGCTGTCTCATTGTTAAGGCCAGTGCTGGGCACTTTATTCTTGTCGCTGCTCGTCGCTGATGTCAAGCCGAAAGCGGTGCACATTTAAAGTCTCATTGTGGCTATTGTTGCTGTTGGAGCTTGCAACTTGCAGCCTGGAGCTCTGACCAGGGCGCGCCTACTTCTGTTATATGTTGCCTACAACATGCCACATGTCGGCACATGAAACTGGGCTGCGGATTGTCACGTAACAGGCAGGCAGAAAGCCAGGCCAGGCCGGCTAGCTGGCATCCACACAAACATTCCCGATTCCCACATAGAGCGTGGTCAATGATCGACTGAGCCGTTAGTTATCGCCCAAGCAAACTACGTTGGAAGCACGTTATTACAGTGCAGCAGCAACAGCAGCGGCCACCCAGGCGGAAAATCTGAAACCCAAAAGTTCAAAGACTGCTGACATTTTGTGCCGATATTATTGTTGCTGTTCTTGTGTATTTTTTGTAGCACATTCATCAGCCGATTGATTAAAGCGCTTTAAGAGAGTCACATAGGGCACCATGTGTCGAATTTCCGATTGAATTTCAACAAATGCATAAAAGTCAGAAGAAAATATGGACTCAACGAGAGCTGCAAATAAATAAGAGTATAGCCACTCAGAATAGTTGACTGCGAAATACCCTGTCCCAAAAAGTCAGCATATATATAGTTGAGCAGACGAAAATCAGATAGGAGAGCAATTAGTTAGGTCTTTACTATTAATATAAGAATCACAGTTCAAAGAGTATTGAAGTTATGAGAGAGAGCATGTCACTCTGAAGCTCACACTGGAGATGTGAATACCCCTTGCGATGCACTTAAATGGGAAACAGACAGAAAATAGGAAGCAACAGACAATAAGAAGACAAGAGTGCAGACATGAGACACGAGACACTTTCATATGGCAATCAAGCAGGGACAGCAGTGCCTTCACTCCATCCAAAAATAAATTTCCAAGCGATTTAACAATGAATTTCGTAACAAAATCTCTATGGAAAATAGAAATAAAAGTGCCCGCCAAAGACAAACCATAGACGGAAACAGAAAGACAGACAGCCCAACAGGCACACCAAACCGTCTTTATAGAGTTAGCTTGACAGCAGCTCTCGCATAATATCAATTTCAATAAACTAACAAGCAAATGTATGTGTGCGTGTGTGTGTGTGCACATATAAAAACTTATTGGCGAAAGCGCAGAGTAGCATACAGTAGCTTAGCACTGAGGATGTGGCGGCACTCATAACATTGTGGAAGTTCAAGCTGTTCCAGACAAACAGCATATAAAGGTAAATTTCAATTTGATCAAATGGCGCGCTGAAAGCAGTGAAAGACAATAAAAAGAAGCCAAGTTGGGATTAAGTTACTAGCAAACACAGGATGGAGAAAAAAGTGAAAAATATAAGAATGCCAAGTTAATATGAAACTAACACAATTAGATAAAAGAGAGGAAAACTCTTTCTAATGGCTGAATGTGCGCTTCTCATCAATCAGTCAGTAAATTTATAAAACAGTCTAATAAATGAGGAGCGCTGTGGTGAGCCATGGACATCGTTACAAAGAGGATATTTATATGAGAAATATACATATATACGTATGTCATTGTTTTAACACAGTCTAATTCCATATATACTTTTGTACAGAGCAGCAAAAGACGCACGAAAGCGTGCTTTGAAATTTGTCACTTGGAAATGCAGTTGTTGTTGTTATTGTTGCAGTTGCAAGACTTAGAGACCATGTTGATGCATTTCGTGTATGACAAGTTTAATGAACATGTTGGGCGTGTCCGCTGCAGCTAGAAATCGCAAGACAATAGAAATGTGAGATAAGCCAGTTGGCAGCTGTTGTTTGCTTCTGTTGCTATTGTTGTTGTTGCTGTGATTGTTGCTGTTGTCACTGATGACATTCTGCAACTTGTACAAAAGCAACTTTACAACTTTACATCAAGTGCCAAAATGTCAGCACATTTGTGTCCCACTGTCTTAGTCGTCGTCGTCGTCGTTAGTTAAATTAATGCAGAGCCAACATGGCGTATACTTGTTAATGAGCCATGGACATCGTTACAAAGAGGATATTTATATGAGAAATATACATATATACGTATGTCATTGTTTTAACACAGTCTAATTCCATATATACTTTTGTACAGAGCAGCAAAAGACGCACGAAAGCGTGCTTTGAAATTTGTCACTTGGAAATGCAGTTGTTGTTGTTATTGTTGCAGTTGCAAGACTTAGAGACCATGTTGATGCATTTCGTGTATGACAAGTTTAATGAACATGTTGGGCGTGTCCGCTGCAGCTAGAAATCGCAAGACAATAGAAATGTGAGATAAGCCAGTTGGCAGCTGTTGTTTGCTTCTGTTGCTATTGTTGTTGTTGCTGTGATTGTTGCTGTTGTCACTGATGACATTCTGCAACTTGTACAAAAGCAACTTTACAACTTTACATCAAGTGCCAAAATGTCAGCACATTTGTGTCCCACTGTCTTAGTCGTCGTCGTCGTCGTTAGTTAAATTAATGCAGAGCCAACATGGCGTATACATGTTAAATGCAGAACAGCAGCAGCAGCAACGGCAGCAGCAAGGAGAAACCAGTGTCAATCGCATTTGCATAGCTTAAGCCCAAGTTGACTTGTATTCTTTTATGCAAGCTGCTCAGCAATTTCTTCAGTTTCCATCATTAATGTAACTTATAAAATAAGCTTATAATAGTGATATGCGAAGATTCAACAAACTGCTCTTTGGTTTTTTGTAAACAACGCATTTTTTTGCTTGCGATGTTCGTGAATGCAGCTTCCCCTATCTTGAGTGCTGTGTTAGCAACAACAATTGACAACAATTTGGGAAGCAAATTTAATCCGAGCACTCTACGCTCAACTGGCTTCGGGCCGTTTACAACTTCTGCTTCTACTTTTTGCAAATGTTGTTATGTAACCCAAAGCCAGCAGCAGCCTTTTGTGCCTTTCCATTGTTGCTGCTCTAAATGTGGTAAGAGTATAGACTATGGCACAATAAGCAGCTGGCGGGTGTGCCACAACCTTAACCCAATTTGCAACAGTTACGCCAAAAGAGCAAAGAAGGCGCTACGCCAGCTTTAAAATTAATATGCTGAAAATCTGGAAACGATTTGCAACTAATAGGCAAGGGCTTAAAATTGCATTAAAACTTTTACAAACTATAAGCATGTGCGTATGTGTGTGTTTGGGGTGTGTGTGAAAATTCAATAAGCTGAAAGTTGTGGGCAAAAAAGTTTTACAGCCTTTAAGCCCACACAACTTGAGTGACTCTTAAAGCAAAAGTTTAACAAGGCAACAAGCAGCACAAAAATACGTCTGAGAGAAACAGAGACAAAGAAAGGGAGAGAAAAAGAGAATGATAGAGAGAAATTCCAAGCATGGAGCGAGTCAAGAAATCATAAGCATTAACATAAACCCAAAGTGACCAATGTGGTGATAACTTTTAGTTTTTGGACCAAATAAGTATTCTTTTTAACAAGCTTTCAACTTGGCTCTTAACTCTTTCGCAGATGTTGTAGGTGGACACCCACGGCCATGCAGGATATACGAATACGTCTGGAACCGCAACATAATACAGCCGCGTTCACCAACTCCCCAGCAGAGGCAACATCTTCGGCCGCAACTCTGGCCAATGCGGAGGCAGCGCTCATTGAGACTGGCGAAACGAAAGGTTCTGCGGAAGGGTCGCAGCTAGTCCAGCTGCTACCTGAGCTAAGTTTCAGGTAAATCATCATTCCGCGCTGAAGTGTGCCACAGCCAGTAAAGCTTCTCTTACAGCGCACCCACAGCGAGCAGCACAGCTCATTATTATCAACATCAACATCAGCCTCACTCCCATCAGCATCCTCATTCGCATTCGCTTTCCCACTCGCATTCGCATCCTGTGCAGCCACGTGCCACGCCCCGTCATCAGGTGGAGCAGCTGCAACTGCTGCACAGCCATCATACAGCGCACAGCCAACACAATGGCCAAGAGCTGGGCGAACAGCAGATGCCACGTTCACCCAGCTCCGAGGAGGACAATTCCCCAACTGAAATGAATAATTGTCGTCGTTTGGTTGATAAACCGCCTCTGGTGAGCATGCTCTCGATTTTTAAATGACGTAGCAGAGTAACAGCTGCAATAGAAATTCTATGTTCAATGATGCTTAAGTTTGACTATTGGCCTAATGACTTCTGGAGCAGAAACGATGGAATAACACATATAAAATGTCATGATGTACAATCGAACTAATTCAATATTAAAGCTTTGCCTTGTACGCTCCTGTCCTTGCATAATTTTTGCATAATTGTGTATTAGTCCTGGTCAAATGAATAAATCTGCTAAAATTGATTGATTCTATTGGTTTACTTAGCAGAAATCGATTTCATTTGAATGTCAATGAAGCTGCCAAACGAAGTAAAATGGCTAAAAGTGAGCAAAAAATGTTGCATACTTTCAGGACTCATCAAAGCTTTGGCAAAGGCAGCCATAATAGGGAAAAGAAAAACTCAAGAAATATTATTTAAATATTTGTCAAAGAACTGACCATCGTGCAGTAATCAATGTATCTGAATCCATCAATCAATCAATCCTGTCTCTTATACTTAGCGTTTCTCTGGACTAGTTCAATTCACATTCGAGCGACTTCAAACCTAAAGCAGAAAATTTTAAATAACTTTACAAAGGCTTTAACTAGCAGACAAATTGCCAGCACTCGAAAATCAAATGCAATTTAGTGAAGCACTTCCAACAGCTTGGAACGATGGCGTACTCGAAAAATGTTTGCCACTAAACAAGACCCAAAAGCGTTCATTAAATTAATTTGCAAAAATGCAAATTTCCAGCTAACGGCACTTTGGCACGCGCCGCCAGCAATTCCAGCAGCAACAACAACTGGAAAGCTGAAGTGCAACGCGCCATTTTCTGCTGCATTCCCTCACCCACACACGCTCGCTGAGCAAGTACAGGTGGAAGTGAGAAGGCAAGTGTGCAAGTGTGTGTGAGTGTGTGAGTGTGTGGGAAATGAAAAACTTGCAGCAGGCATGCCAGGCGAGTGGCAGCCAAATGCCGTTAACTTAGTGACTTTATGACACATAAATCGCTGCAACAATGCCAACAAAATCCTGGCGCTGGCATTACGTGTCCTGCTTTCTACACACACAATTACACCTACACACGAATATACATACAGCTATATATCTATAGGCCTACAGCTGACAACTGCAGCTGCAGCTGGAGCTGCAGCGAGGCAAAAGTTTTCTGCCAACTAAACGACAGACAAAGGACAGAGAGTCACTGGGGAGATAGACAAAAGGTGGAGAGAAAGGACCAAATCAAATGCCGGCACAAACAACTTGGAATGCACTCACTGAGAGTGCTCTACTTGAAAATACTCTGAAAGCAAACATAGACAGGAGCAGTAGGCATATGCGAAATGAAGGTTCAGTTGATTCAGAAAACATATATAGAGCAACTTATTGTTGTTGCCTCGGATGAAGAGACGGATATACTCGCATATATGCCCAACAACCATACCAGACACTCACTGTTACATATGCAGGCATTAGCTAGTCATAGCCATAGCGCGGGCACCCACTAGTTACAGAGTATTGCAAAGCTGTACTTTGCCGAACGCTTGCAACTTAGGACACACCCCCAGTCCAATTGTTCCATTGTTCCCATTATGCCTACCTTTCTGCCTGCACTCTGCAGCATCTTCGGCCTCTCTTGCTCTTTTTCCACTTGTTTTCATCTCTGCTCCTCTTCGATTCTCCCACTGTATTGCATTTTTTATATTTACGCCTTTTTCTAGCAGTTGTCAGCCGGATTTGTCGAGCATCGCCTGCCGACTGCCACTTGGGCGCATTGTCTTGTTGAGGATTTTGCATATTGCGAGAGTCTTTTCCAATGTCATTAGCATAATGGGGCCATTAGGTTGCCACCCCAGCCCCTCCGACCTACCCCTTGACACTGATTGCATGCTTAACGATAAAGCAGCTCTGACTGCCAATTCAATTAGCTGCGATTGCGAAATGATGCACAGCAGGATTGCAAAGCCGAAACGAGGACAAGCAATCCTAATATGAAATCTTTTATCTTCAAGTAGCTCTAACATAGTCTAGTGCTTGATTAGGGGACAGCCTGCAAGCTTCCTTCTGCGAGTGCAAGTGAGACAAGTAGCAATGCTCTAGGAGCGGAAACGGCAAGATCAGAAAATAAAAAAATTGAGAGCTCTACCCTTAACAGAAAATACACACTTCTTATATAAACATGAATAATACATATCTACATAGTCAACTTCTACAAAAGCCTCATTATGTGAACTACATAATGTTGCTATCCATGAGTCTGATAAAGTGGACTTAGTTCGGCTTGAGGCTCATTGAGCTAAATGCCACATCAAAAGCGAATTTCGGTGGCTACATAAAATCAACATAATTATTGCAAATTAGGTAAATAACTTATAAGAAATAGGATGGGGCTACGGGGAAGGGGAAATGGCGGAACTGGGAAGCAGCCAGTCAACACTTCAGCGGAACTGTTTACTAATTGGAAACGCTTTAAATGCCGCCCCACAAGCAGGCGAAACTTTTTGCTTTAACTCATTTCAAAGTAATTTACCGCAGCCCCAAAAACCAAAGCAACTTCCAGTTGGGGGTCGGCAGCTTGACGAGAGGAGCCTTCAGTGGTTGAGAGGGGGTGTGGCATGTGGGGTAGTGACGACATAGTTAACATTTTATTGGTAACCAAAAATTTAACACATAGATTTTCAAAGCGTTTGCTTGCCAGGGTACCCTCTAAACACAGGGAGAGCGTCAAAATGGAGTGTATCCTTCAAAGGGCTAAACATGTTATACACCTATATACATTTATGATCCATATGGATCCTACAAGTTGAAAAAGCAGTCTTATAAATTCTAGTTTAAAGCCAGAGGCAAACTGTTTAACAGGGCATGTCGTCGTCTAGCAGCTTAATGATACTTTGGCTTAGTCCTCGTCGACTAAAGTGATTTCCTTGTTAGCTGGCTTTGTGGCCAGACTCAGCGAAGTGAATGGCAATTATTGCGTGGCGTTGGGTTGGGTCGAAAAGTTTTCTCGTTGTTGGCCAAATTGGCAGCCAACACGAAGCCGAATCCTAGTTATGCAAAACTATCGATGAACTCTGTGCCGATCTACTTTCAGGTGAAACGCCTCACCATGGGCATTGGACTGCTGCGTGGCACCGAGGACAGCCGCCCCCTGGTCCACAACACCTGCTCCTCATCCCTGAACTCGGGCTCATCGCAGACCATATCGGATGGCTATGTGAACGAGGCCATCTGTGAGCCGGACAAGTATGTGGCTAGCAAATTCGGCGACTCCTGCCGCCAGTCGCTGACGGCTCTGGAAACGGCTACACAGCGCTTACAGTCGGAGCTACCCAACAACAAGAAATATTTGAGAGAAACATGCAGCGGTAGGCATTGCAATAGTTCTGTTTAGCGATATCTCCTGATCCCGCCTGCTGATACTAACATATTGTTTCTATGTTCCTCCTGGCTCAGCCAACTCCAGTCCGAAGCTGTTTGCAGCGAGTTCCCCTTTGCGTCTGGACAACCTCAGCCTGGCCGAACAGCAGGAGCTGAAGGGAGCCGCCTGGTATCAGGCGGGCATACCCAGGGAGATATCACTGGAGGTGCTATCCCGCCAGAGTCCAGGCGCCTTCCTAGTACGCCAGAGCAGCACCAAGCCGGGTTGCTTTGCATTATCCCTGCGTGTGCCACCTCCCGCGCCACGCGTGGCCCACTACTTGATATTGCGAACACAGCGCGGCTATAAGATCAAGGTGGGTCAACCAACAATCAGGTTGGCTGCAGGTGCCAATCATGCAGCCCATAGATGAGGCAAGAGTAAATCTTAAATAGAAAGGCTCTCTTCCTCCCTCACACTAGAGAGCTCTCATCGTGGACTGTTGCTCTATCACACATATAAAAAGGCACTAGCCATCTCGCTCACATACTCATTCTTGCGTGCTCAATTAGCGAGTCGATGTAACACCCGAGCAAATGCGACCTGTACTATTATTTATTATTTTGTTTATGGAAAAGTTTGCAGTCATTAAATATTTTTCATTAAATATTCTTTCTCTCTCTCTCTTTCTTTCTCTCTTAACAGGGCTTCACCAAGGAGTTTAGTTCGCTGCGAGCATTGATCACGCATCATTCGGTAATGCCAGAGCTGTTACCTGTGCCACTCACCTTGCCACGCCCCCCGCATATACGCGCCCACGCGCAAACCTATGGCCACGGGGGCGGAAACGGAAATGGTGGTGGAGGGGACTTTGAGATGTACGGATCGCTGAATGATTTTCGCAAAATGATGGCCGATTTGAATGTGTGACGCAACAACAGGCATGAGGCAAGCGGGAGCAGCTAATTAATTAAGTAATTATTGTCACATTGATTGTATTAAGCTCAGAATCGGAAGTCTGGCGGTGCTGCTGTATGGACAGGATTACAGACTGTTTAATTTGCCTAATTGGCTGTGCTAGCGGTTGACTTAGCGAACGAAAACACAAAAAGAAACACAAGGAAATAGCCCAAAATACAAACACAGAAAGAAAAAAACAGCGTCGTAAAAAATTATAATACAAAATCAATTGAACTGAGCGAGGGAAGGAACAAAAAACAACAGAATATGCAACATAAATTCCCAGTGAAGTAAAAATTCTAAAAATTCCAATGAAATTATTTTTTACATCAATACGAACTGTCTCTATGAGGCAAACGGTTCCTGTAAAGTTTTTTTGCATATATATAATAAACCTCAGATGTTCATAATATATAAAATTATATAATGTATACCTTGAAGTGTAGTCTAATGGAGGTATGAGAGTATATATTGAACAAATTTTGCAAAGCTCTTCTAAAAACATACTTATATGTATTTGCATACTCCATGCTATGTTATATGCATTATATACCTATCCACTCTATCAAGATTGATTTGACTACACAAAACACTTTTTGCTTCGCTTACAGTTTGAGAGTTATTGTTCAATGCTAACCGTTTTAAGGTTTGCGGACCAGCTACCGAGAGATTTTTTCCATTTTGACTCATATTTCATTTTGACTAAGTTTAATTACTTTTTAATTGAAAGCTAAACCATTGTGCATTTTTATTCTAATGAATTTTAAGGCTCTTTTTATGGCACCTGTAGCCACAAAAACAATTCTGAAAATGTTCGCAAATCTGATTAAATGTTAATTTTTTTGTATTTTTGTTAGGAATGCGTTTGGATAATGCTTCCACCAGCTGCAAGTCTTCATTTAGTAAAACAAAATTATACAGAAGAAAAAATATACTAGTTTTAGCAAAATCATTAGAAATATTTAATATGACTAACACAATTAAATATTGTATCTAAATGTATATGGTGTAATATTAACGAACTAAGTAGCTAGGCTTATACAACAAATTATGCATTATTATTTTTTGCTACCTATGTATGTATATGCTGTTTGTAATAAGTGTAATAAATAATATAACAAATTGTGCAACATTTTTATTTTACTTTTGCTGCAAAGTCCCTGAAGAATTTTTAGTTTTTACCTATATAAGAACTTTTTTAAAAGAATCTACCATTCTATAAGATATATAATTCTTCACTATTTATTATTAATTCTTTGTTTTTAAATTTACCACCATCTATGTCTAGAAACAGCTGATTAAAGAGAGAGCAACAGCTGCTGTAAGGCCGCCTATCGATATTAAGTGTGTCACTATCGATGACAACTATCGCTTGCTTAACATTTGCAAATTCAGATATATCTGTAAAAATAACAACAATGTTAAACTTAACAGAACAAAGTTAACCACTGAACGAATCGGCCGCACGCACTGTTATTACTGCTCGTTCGTTGCAAATTGTTTAAATAAAAAACTTAAATACACAAGCAGCGAGACGATTGCGCTCAGTGGAACGCCGGCTGCTCGAAGAGAGAGTTCCATATTAGCGGAAGAAAACCGAGAAGTGTACCGCGTGCAATCTAAGGCTGGCCAGCGAATAAAACAACAAAAATAAAAAGTAAATGCTTACTAAATGCTCTCGAAAAAAACTCAAATATGTAATTGAAAAATGAAAGAGTGCTACAGTGTTGAGTGAGATTAACTGTGAACAGGAAATTTGTCTGCCTTTTTTGCCACATGTATTTTTATCGTATTTGTGTACTTTATCGATTACGTCGGCGCGCTCAGCATAAAATGAGAGAGAAGATGAAATGGGCGAGAAGATGAATGTGTGGCGAAACGGGTGTTTGGTCTCTTTTTTTTTGCCAGGGCGGCGGTGGTGGGACAACATAAAACATATACATATACAAGCGGCACACATGCACGGGCTTACATATGCATGCCTGCATGTTTATATGTGAAAACCTTAGCGGCAAAAAAATTTCACTAGAAATTTTGAAAGCGTTGGGCCGCGAAAAAAAACCGGATATGATACTCTAAAGCTAAGCTTTCAAACGAAATGAAATGAAAAAAATTACCTGAGTGTAGCCGAGTGAGTGAGTGTTAGTGTATGTATCTGTGGTGAGTGTGCGTTGTGCCTATGTATGTGAGCTTGTGTGCGTAGACGAATTGTCGCGTGTCTGGCATGCAATTAGCATTCAAATACGCGCATGCATATGTATACATAACTACATACATATGTGTAGTTGTATACCCATATGAATGTATGTCTTTCCATGTTATTTAGTCTATTTTTCCTTGCCGGCACCTGCCAGCAGCGCTGGCCATATGTGATATACATATATTTCGCGTTTCGTTTTGTTACATATGTTTTTTTTTTTTCGACTGTAAGATAGAGAGAATGAGTGAATTAGACAAACGCAGCCGCCAGACTGTCGCGTGCCTTACCTCAATGTGCCCCCTCGTATTCTTCCACTCCTCCTGCCACTTAGCTCCTACTACTTTTAACATTAATGCGACAAGTGCATGGAGGCGACTGGCGAAGGTGTGAAATGCGGAAGACAAAGCAGAAGAAGATGGTGAAGAAGAAGCATCAGCAGTCCCCATTCATGAATGGATTGCATTTGCGCGCGCTTATGTATGTGTGTTCCAAGAGAGCGGCAGGCGCGCTCTCTTGCTCTCGCCCTCTCTGTCGCACTCGACATGTGTTTATGCAAAATCAATGGACCAAACTGGAAGGTCACTCTCTGCAAACCAAGAAACTTATGAGCGCTTTCTATTTTTCAAATGCGGGTCAAAATTAAAGATTACAAAAAAACACCAACCAAACACACAATTAAAAAAATAATAATAATAATAATAATAATAAAAAGCTAAATTTAAAAAAATTGTGCATGCGTGTGATTTTTAATAAGCATTAGTAGTCTCTATAATCTATTGATTATCCTATATTGTTTTTCTCTCTGTAGAAACCCGCCAACACTCAAACACAAAGCCCCACATATACATATACACATAGTCTATCTCCTACTCAGACAGCACACTCCAGCAGCACAATGATCAACATGGACATCAGTGTAACCCCCAACTATTCATATATCTTTGATTTCGAGAACGATTTCATACACCAGCGCACACGCAAATGGATGCTGGAGAACTGGACATGGGTCTTCTACTACTGCGGCATTTATATGCTGGTCATATTTGGGGGTCAGCATTTTATGCAAAACCGACCGAGGTAAGCAGATGTCTATATAAAATATTAACTAAAGTAAGCGAAACGAACGTATTGCCTTACGGTTATGACAAGAAAGGGAATATTCTAGTCTGCCTTGTAGCAGGTATAAGTGCAAAGCTACAAGCTATAACCGATAAAGTACATTCTTCCTATAGCTAAGTCTGTTCATATTTAATGCCTATTATATTGTCTCGAGTTTTGCTTTTGACTAAGTATTTACTATAGCCGAATGTATTTCTCTTCAAGCAAAGCTTTCACTGTAGCCTATTTAGTCTGTTTGAATTTCGCATGCGTTGCATAATTTGCCATTTCGCTCGCTCTTCAACTCTCTGTCCCTTCATCGCCCTCTCTTGCTCTTTTATTGTTAACTGCTTTTGACATTGGGCCAGCACTGTGTACCAGGCACATATGTATGTCCGACAGTCTGTCGGAAACCATGAACCCTCTCCAGCAGCGTTTATCTCTTGCTTTTCTCACAAAAGAAAAACGACATGCGGCGCGTGGCATGTGCCTCATTTTCTTATTGGAGCACCCACGCCCTCAATTTCCTAGTTGGTCCAATCAAATTTAATTTTCATAGAATTCAGAAGACACTTCTAATGCCAATATTGATTGTCTGCTTGGTTCCACATTTAGTTTTGGGGACAAGCAAACTTTTGTTGTCTACAGAAAGCTTTGTAATATGGATTTGCTCCTTATCTGTGACACATAAACAAACTACCTAAAGCCAAAAAATGTCAACGCGGCAACTTTAATATAAGCGTTAATAATATATTACTATTTCTAGGCTTAACTACTAAAAACTTATTAGCTTATGGAACCAAGTCAACACATTATTCAGAATATAACATAATATCATATTGCAGAGCCATTAGGCCTATTAGCAACTAATCAAGTACAATTAAATTCTAATTAAAGCTTTATAGGTATATGTGTGTATATCTGCTACAATATGGGACTTCAATAGAATCGCCGTACAGCTGCTGCTTACATACTTAAGCGTAATTATAATGTAGTACCTCCCGACTAGCTTACCATGTAAAGTGTTCGCAATTTCGGATTTCCACCTGCGCTCGTGTTAATATACGTAAATTATAGGCCGCAGCTAGGGTCACGTTACTTACCCAAAACAAACCTTGCTTAACTAATTCCGACAAAAACTAAACCAATAACAAAACAAATTTCCTTGTCAATTTGACCTTAAAAAGCTGTTGCAATTTTTCCAAAGTGCAATTGCAGTAGTTACTGCGACTGCGAACACGACTTCGATTATATAATTTGGACTGTCGAATAGTCAATTGTTAAATATTTGAATTGACAGTTGACATGCCAACCCACTAAGGGCGCACGCCATAGTCAGACAACGACTATTTCGGAGTAAGGATTACTCAAAACAAACTATTCAAATGCAAACACGGAAACTTTTTACTACGAAATGTAGATGTCTGTGATGCAAGCAGTTTCTGGAAATCAGCTGAAAAACTTAAAACATTTCTAGTAGTTGTAATTTTTATATACTGAATTGCTTTTGTGATATGGCCTCTTGAAATTGATACCTGAAAAATATTTTATAACAATGCTTACTGGCCCTTAGTGGTCTCCACTGAACTTCCTACTGAGTCGCAGGTGCATTGTACGAAACTGTATTTTAGTTATTTTTATTTTCCGTCTATTTCTTAGAGGTAGTTTAGTTTTGATCTGTACCAGATTTATCAAAACCTGTGTATACTACACGAAATACTGAAAGACACGTGAAAAGTTTTCAATAACTTCGTTTGTTGGCGACAGACAACTGCAATTTGATTTCTTATCGCAATAGTTGTCATTCTTCCGATCGAGACATTAATTTCAAGGCGACGACGATTCACCTCCAAATTGTTGCTGTTTTGAATGGCATATGTATGATGCCTTTTTATATAACGAGCATAAAGCATGTCCCACGCTTGAAACCTAAGCTCCCTCTCTCTCTCTCTCTCTCTCTCTCTCTCTCTCCCATTCAATCTGTGTAAGATTGAGCAATCTGATGATTTCGCCTATTGCTTGGCTTATGTCGCTTTATACGCCTAGATTTTAAAAAATATGTTATATATATATGTATGCATGTTTACATACTGGTATATATATATTCCCTATTTGGTTTGCTTTACACTTGAAATCTTGTTTCAATATTTACCCACCTTAGACTTGGAACAGAGAGGTGCAAATGGAATAGGTTGCCACGGGGTTCAGCACGGATCGGTGATCTACGTCAGTCAAATGGGCTTTACACAAAAGTAATACAAAATGCATTGAACACGCTTAATAAATCGCGCTGAGATCATCTTTCGATTTTTGTTTTTATCTGCCAACATTAAACAACAATCTTTGAAACGCCCTTATAAACTGAAAGCTCTCTGCGCTCTGTGATTTTGCACAGATTTTGCAATTAAATGAAATATATAATATATATGTATATTCTTGTATACGTTCATGTGGGTCTGTTATCAGTCCATGTTCGCGCCATGTGGAACGCACTCTTATCAAACGAATTCAGCACAATGTTGGGGCAAGAGAGACCGAATAATGAGACCCAGAACAAGCCGCCTGTCGTAATTGTATATGATATCATTTACCATGATTCACGTTTGGGTTCAACTATATAGTATAGTATAGTAGTACAGTGAGTGCGCGTTTCTTGAAATGAGAATCGCTGGGTAGGACTTATTTACTCATCATTTTGCTTTGTGAATCCCTACTCTTAGACATAGTTTTTAAGATTGTATTGCTTCAATTCAATTATTGACTCATGCCACAAGAAATGGACTGCTCCTCAATAAATATTACATAAGTTCTTGTAATATATCAAATATAACTGATACATTTCACAAACTTGTTCTCTTTATCGTATACATACTGTATTTTTACATATATATTTGGCACAGTCGTTTTCACTTGGAGCCTCAATTCAAAGTCATTTAAATGTGGCCCAACTTTTTACCCAAATGTGACTGCAGCACCATTCGGAATAACATACACACGCACGCAAACACACCTACACACACATTTACATATGTGTATACATGTAAATTCGACCTGCTCCCTCGGCGACTCTGAGAAACATGTCACAAGTGGGCGTGTCTCTGGCTGCTTAGACACAAATGGCGCAGAGGGGCGCAGGACATTCAATTACCACAAGGCAACATTGCTGCATGCTTACACTAGCCAACAGTGAAGGCAAATTTTAAATAAACAACAAACAAAAGGCTAAACAAAGCAAACACATTATAATTAAGAGGAATAACAAAAACCAAAACCAAGAATCTGAAGTGTGCAAATATTTTGTTGCTCAGTGTAGCTCGGCCTCGTCGCGTGTTGTTGCGTGTGCTGTTCGTATATAAAATGATGGGCTATAGAATCTACATCATATACGGTCTGCCCCTGTGTGTGTGTGGGCGCAAAACGTCACACACTATGGGGGATGCAAAGAGAGTGAGAAGGGGGCAGATATATGACATAGTGAAGCCAAAGTTCTAGGTTTATATCCATATAGGGTAGAAGTATTAGGCACATGTCATAGAGGTAATACTTAGCCAAGTTTGTCAACAAATATTTGGCATTAGTTTTTAACTCTGCCAATTCTAGTTGAACAACAATGAGTTGCTTTATTGCAGCGTAAGCCTTAACTCAAGTAGAGGAAAAAGAGAAGAGAGGCAATTTTTACGCTGGTCTTTTTGTTGAATTATGACTATCAAGCGTGAGAAATGGGTGACTTCATACCATAATCTAAGTAAATTGCCTATGAACTTCCTCGAATAACCTATAAGCTAGGCAAAATATGTAAATGCTTAATTATACAGATTTAGAATCGACAGATTCCTGACCTTTGAATATCATACAAAATTAACTATTTTTTTGTTTTTAGTTTTGTTTTTTTATTGCCTTCAGAGAATTGCTGAGTAAATGTGTGGAAACTACTCTAAGCCAGTGAAATTTAGTTTATTTTCGTACCAGCCAACATAAAAACCAAACAAAAATCGAATAGTTTTGAGTGTGTGTGAAAATTACAGAGCAGTACAGACGCCTGTCCTATAAATACTCCCTTCCAGGTACACTCTCGTGAACCCTACTTAAACAAACGGTATAAAAAGTCCCCTTATGTGGTGCCAGCACTCACAGTGGCTCAATTTCCTCCGCCCGTGCATAGTCTGCTAGCGCGTCAAAGCAGAGGAAATTATATTTAAAATATTAATAATTGTTGTATATAACATGACGTGTCGAGTGGGCGTGACGGTTCAGTAATTACCGCGAAGCATTCGCAATTACAAGCGGCAACAGCCCCACAATAACAGTTATTTATGTACATATACATTGACAGATGGAAACATATGTATATTAGGCTTTTATTGAGCGCAAACAACGATCAATCCAGATGCCATGTGTAAAAGTGAAATTTTAAAGGTTGCCAGCGAGAAATTAACCGTTAGCTGCGACAAGTCTCAAGGTAGGTAGGTATGTAGATAGTAGAAGCGAGTTTGCGGAAGAGAGAGAGAGAGAAAGAGAGAGAGAGAGAACATGTTTGCAAAGTGTGTCATTTAAATATTTACGAAAGCCTACGTAATAACAACAATAACAACAACAACCAGAAATGTAATCAAAGCAGAAATTCAATTCTGCTTGCCCGCGGCTGCATCAAAAGCTCAGCTCGTCAGCTCTCTCTCCCGCTCTCCGCTCTCTTCACGTGCAGCAGCATCTGTGTTGATCATGCCACATTTTCGCTTTTACTTTCGACATCGATTCGTGTTGTTTACCTTTGTGATTACCACAGCTGCACCTGCTCGCATAGCTGTCATTCTTCAAAAATCTGCGCATTGTTGACCTTTAAAATATTTAACACAGAGGGAGAGAGAGAGGTAGAGACGCACTCGTTCTCTCTGACACACGCCCACGTTGCGTTAAATAGCGTTATTGGGATTATGAGAACTATTGCGAGCGATATTAGTCTAGACTCAGTTTATTTCGAATAGGACTTTGTAATAAAAAGCACATACTCCTTTTATTTTATCTTAAACTTCAGATCAACCTTTTGGCGGTGTTTATCAAATGTATCCGTTTAAAGATATAATTAAGGTCAACTTCAAATCTCTGACCCTGTGAAGACCCTGTGTTACGCAAGCTTAGCATTCATATTGGTCAAGAGGTCAACTATTAAAGACGCGCATAATAACTATGCATGAACAAATTTAAAAAAAAAATCAGTTGACAGTAACTAAAACAGGGAAACCGCAAAAAAAGAAACAAATGTTGCAATGCAAAATCAACAGCAACAAAATGTTGGCCAAATTAAAATGAGAGAAACACAAAAATTGAATCGCCGTCAACTGCTGTGAGACAATGTTGCGAATTTGTGGCCCAAAAGGCAAAACTAAAACAGCAACAACATCAACAGAAACTGCAAATCAGCCATAAAGAGCATATACATGCATATTTTTTATACACCTAAATTATATGTACATCTATACACACGCACACACACACGCCCACATAGCTGAATACGTATCAGCATGTCTGCATAAACAGAGTCCGAAAAAGCAAACAATAGTCGACAGAAACAAGCATTTGATTACGTTTGCTTCATTACAAGTCGTCGTGTCGGCTGCTCTCTTTTAGACTCTCTCTCCGTCTCTGTGTATGCGTGTATGTGTGTGTGTGAGCGTGGTGGCACTCTCTCTTTGTTTACAGCTGCTTGTGCAGCTTGCATAATTCCTAAAAAGTCCAGTGCATTGCAAAATCTGGTTTCGCTCATTGTCAAGGAGGGGCGGGAGAGAGAGAAACGAACACTTTGCTAACTGTCTCACTCTCTTTCACACACACAAACGCTGTCAGCTGCTTATGCAATTTTCGCAAAGTGAAAACTGACATTGGAATTTGGGTACTCACTCTCCCTCTCTTCCCCCACCGACAAGGCAAGCATCATTAATCGGGCAGATCGCTACACCCAAAATGCGAGCACAGCAAACCGGACACAAAGTAGGCGTCGGCTCGCCGCACTGCACATCTGAACACGGGGACGACCTGTGCCCTATCAAAAATTGAGCTTCAAAGGGACCTTGCAGTCCCTTCTGCCGAGAAGCCAAGCTGCCAAGCGATTAGCAAGGCCTATTGGTTTTCCTTACTCATTATGTTTTGGCACGATTCGAGTGCGGCGGCCACAGCGCAAGTCATGGACGGCCAGCTACAACCGTTTGAGAATTATAAGGGTAGTAACAATGTTGGAATTCCCAGCAGCTACGTCGTTGGACGCTGCCGTTGAGAGAAGTTGCCTTTGCTTGCTTGATTCGTTTAAATAAAACGAATTAGATTTGCTTTTATTTTTGTTTTATGCTTTTTACTGAATGGTTCCGAATCTAGATATGGTCTGCTATAGCATAGTTGTAAATTAATAGAGCAGCGAGCAGCCGCATCAGTAGCAACAGCACACGCAGCTTAATTGTCCATTGTCTATGAATTCTTATCTGTGACAATTTAGTTCTATGATACACATATATTATATAGGGGCCACTGCCTGGCATGCAAATCTCTCAATTTGTTTTATTTTATATTTTCCCTGGCTTATATAAATACAAATCTAGCTGTGTTTTAGCTACAGATTCCAGTACCTACATTCCTAAAACAAAATGCAATATTTATATCATTAATGCCTTATTAGCTCTCTGATAAACCGCATATATCAGTATTTTACGTATATCAATTAACTGAAAATAGTTAGAATAAGAGCTAGAATTATTATTGTTATGATTAGCTTATGTTTGAATAGTTTTTTTTAAAGTATTATTACCCCTTGATAAGTCAACAAAATTCTTTATAATGAAAAATTACGTATAATGAAAATAACACGCCATATTTTGTCGAACTCCTCCGCCTCAACTGTTTCGATAAAAGTCTACCAATATTGATTTTTTTTTATATATATTTTTCATTGTGACTGACAAGTTATTTTTATGAGTAATATGAACGATAAGATTTGAGGCAGAAGTGTAAAAAAAGTTATTTTAATAAACTTTTAATTGCATTAGACATTGGATGCAAATAGTATTGATAGATTAGCTGGCTGACTAAGTAGTTAACTGATTGCTAGTACTTTTTACTATGTATATATATGTATGTATAGGTGTTTTCTTTTGACCGGCTTTTGACTCAGACCCGACACGCCCTTGAGTCATGCTCTGTTCATGCTGTGTTTTACGGGCTACTCAACAATAAACATCGCTTTAAAAATTATAATATATATATAAATATATATATACATATAATTTTTAAAGCGATGTGCTTATTGTTGTATGTGTATATACATAAGTACATATATAAAACAGTTTAACGCTCATTAAACCTGCGAAACATGTTTGGAGCAGGGATGAAAAAATTTCATTATTCGCAATCAAAAGTAAATTAATAACTGGGATTTTTATCACATGATTTAGCTATATAATGAATAAATATGAGCTAGATGTGGGGAGATTATAAAAGTATATGGATCAACTTGCTAAGCAAGCTTCATGGTGTGCTTAGGCTTATGAGCTAACAGTGATTTGCAAACATCCATGCTTAAGCATTTCTGTCAGGAATAATTGAGATAACTTTATGTGGATCAAGAGCAGTAAGTATAATAACACTGCGCGTAGCTGAACACTTTGTCCTTCTTGAAGGGTATATACTATATAGACTTATATATTAAATAAGTAAAAAGATCGTAAATGACGTGCCGATCGCACGATTTATTTAGATTTTTTTGTTTGTTGATTCACAAATACTGAGAGATCTGATAATTAAAATCTAAATGCTTTGACTTCGCGGTAACCTTTAACGATTAGCCAGATAACGCATATGTGTGTGTATATGCATGCAAATATGTATGTATGTTTCATAGGTGGGGGCCCATGCCCCCATCAGTGTTACGCGTATCGCGTAAATTAATTTTGATCTTTAGGCCAACTAAATAGCTAAATGATAAACACTTCATGAAATGAATGACAGATGATTATTGCATAGATTATTGTTGTTGCTATTGTTATGTTCTCCCACTGCCACAGCCTCGCCCTATTAACTGACTTAACTGAAAATAAACTTCAAAGTTTGTTGATCTTTGCTTATTGCAAGCGATATTTGCATATTCATGATCAGTTAAAGCCACACAGATATACAAATGACGAGCGATAGATAGAGTTGACGTAAATGTGATATTTCGAGTATATTAGTAGTTTTTTAGTTAATTTTTTAGAAAACTCAATCTTGACTTATCTATCTTTTCTTATCTCTTTCAGATTTCAACTGCGTGGCCCACTAATCATATGGAACACCCTGTTAGCCATGTTCAGCATAATGGGTGCTGCACGCACTGCGCCGGAATTGTTGCACGTCCTACGGCATTATGGACTTTTCCATTCGGTCTGTGTTCCCAGGTAAAGTACTTCAATACTCTTGTTGCAAGCTCAACAATATCATCATATGTATCTCTCTCTCTCTCTCTCTCTCTCTCTCTAATTGGCTCTTTTTCTACCAATCTGATGCAGTTACATTGAGCAAGACCGTGTGTGCGGCTTCTGGACCTGGTTATTTGTACTGAGCAAACTACCGGAATTGGGCGATACGATATTCATCGTATTGCGTAAACAGCCGTTAATCTTCCTGCACTGGTATCATCACATCACTGTGCTGATCTACTCGTGGTTCAGCTACACCGAGTACACTAGTTCCGCTCGCTGGTTCATTGTGATGAACTACTGTGTGCACTCCGTGATGTACAGCTACTATGCGCTCAAGGCGGCTCGCTTCAATCCCCCACGCTTCATCTCAATGATCATCACGTCGCTGCAGCTGACACAAATGATTATCGGCTGTGCGATCAATGTGTGGGCGAATGGATTCCTGAAGACCCACGGCACTCAGTCGTGCAATATATCGCAGCGTAACATCAATCTATCGATCGCCATGTACTTCAGCTACTTTGTGCTGTTCGCACGCTTCTTCTACAAGGCCTACCTGTCGCCCGGTGGTCACAAGAGTCGCCGCATGGCCGCCTCGCTGGTGGCACAGAATACGGCTAAATTGTCGAGTCCCATTTCCACAGCTGATGCGAACGTCATGTCTAGTAAATATGTTGGTGAGGATGCACAGGCTGCCTATATGCGCAAAGCGAAGGCACAGTAGAGCCTAACTTTAATGTTGCATGCGCCCCTCTTCCTCTGGCAAAAAGGCTAAGGACATTTAATTTTTACTTTAGTGGGATGTAAAAGTTGTATTTTTTTAGTTTTAAACCCAGGCAAAACTCAAAACTCACACAGATACTGGCGCACATACGTTTACCTTTAATTATAAGTTTAGAGTTTTACCAGGCAAAACTGGCTTACACACACCCATCTATATATATTTATTTATATGTATGTATATAAGTATATATATATATATATATATATATAATGTCATGTACATAATGAAATTGAAAATTTGAAGCCAAGTCAAGTCAGTTAGGTGATTTTTGTAAAAAGTTAGCTTTGGAATGGATGAACTTTTGCCAGCCCATGAAGCAAAGAGTCAACTATAAATATATATATAAATGAGATATATACATATATGCTATATTTGTATAATCAGCCCCGAGCAGTGTCCTGTTTAAGCCTAAAGATCGAAATACGTCGAGTATAGTTTTCCAATTTGTTTTCTTGCTGTAAAAAAGAGAAATAAATAATATTTAACATTTGTGTTTTTAATAGATTCTTAAACAATGTTCAGATCCTACAAATACCTATCTATATATATATATATATATATATATATAGATATATATATATATATATATATATATATATATAAATATATATATAACTCTAACTGTTTGTGTTAGCTGTTTTGTTCTAATCGATATTCTGGATTTGTTTCTATTTGCGCAAATTGTTAAAAGAAAATGAAATTAAAAATAAGAAGGAAACATACACTTAATTCAATAATTAACTTTTGATAGAAAAATATATTTTAAAAACTAATACGAAAAAAACAAAAGAAAACGTGGCAGGGGCATGCATTTAGTTTCGATTTTTTTAAGTTTTGAAGAAATTTGAAATGATTAAGTTTCTAATGGCAAAGGAAAAAGAAAGTGTAACAAAGAAAAACAAAGCAAATGCTTAAATTATATATTTATATTTGTAAGAAAAAAAAAGAAAAAAGTCCTACTTGAAAAGTTAATTAGTATAAACGAAGCAGACAACAAAATATAAGTAGATAAAAAAAAGAGATAGAAAGGAATGGAAATTTGAAGTAATACGGATGCTCATGCGTTCCTGAGATAGTCATAAAAGAAACTTATAAAAATACAAAACTAAAAAAAAATAATTGAAATTTTTATGGGGTAAAAATTTAATAACGAACAAAAAGGAGGAAGCTTAGAAAACGGATAAATAAAACGTAACAAAAGGAAACGGAAATAACAAATGTGTTTCAATTCCATGTCTTTTTTCAGTTAATATAGTCTGCCTGTTATATGCATAACAGCAGGAAGGCATTCTCCCGCGAATACAACAGTAACATGGACAAGGTATAATAACTACACAACAGATTTAAATAACACTCCAATTGGAAATAGATACATGAAGTCTAGACTACCGGGTGAAAAATAGAAATGGAAAATATTAAAAACTACCAATATAAGTAACAAGTCATCATGAGAATAAAATCATAAATTAACACACGATATGTACACAAAGCTATGGACACATTTACTGACCTATTTATTTCCTGACCTCATCCTCTAAGTGTTTCGCCTAAAAAATTCCTCTACGTGTTTCCTCTAACTTATTTCGCCAAGTATTTCCTCTAAGTATTTGATAAGTCTTTCCTCCATGTCTTTGCTTGTAAGTATTTCCTCAGTCTTGAATACATAGTTGGACGATTGAATATTTGCACACATTTCACATCATTGGCATCTTGACATTGTCATTCTTGCGAATTCCGTAAGTAATTGAACAAAGTTTAAGGCCAACGTTTGAGCCTCACCTATTCCCGGTTAACTGGAACTCGGTTAAAAGCAAAATGTCTAAGAGGGAAAACATTTATTTTCTGGAAAAATGTTTTACTACTACATTTATGTATACATATATATTATATAATTATTTTACTTTATCTTTATCGAGAGTGTTATTCTCAAAAAAAGGTTCTATATCATTAAAAATTTTGTAATACTAGACTAGAAAATGTTTTGCTAAAATACTTAAAAAGTGTATTTTGCAAGAGTGTGTACGAAAGTCTCCGTGTGTGTGTGTGTGTGTAACTAAGTAAACGCACATTTGAAGACTCTAGAACCCAGACATTATTATAATTATTAGTAATATGTGATAGATTACAAAAAGGATCCGGCTAAGCTCTAGAGTATTACACATGTACTACATACGGAATATACATATGTAAGTAGTTTATGATGCATGCATATTAGTACATATTGTATTGTTATGTGAAAAACCACCGAAAGTTGAGTCCAAGTAATGTTCCACTTAGAATAAATCAAATAAAAGGAATGTGTTTTTGGCTTCTTGGTTTTTTCTTCGAGTGTATAATTCAATGCTTCATCTTTTTAATGCATATAAAACGTATTCATTATAAATAAAAACAACAAATTGTAAAAGTGTTAAAGAAAAACCAAAAATTAGCAAAATAAACACAGAAAAACATAACTTCAACTTCTTTTGAGCCATTTGCGACTTATTTTAATAAATTGTTTGTAGTTTTTTTTTTTTCATTTTAGTTTGAGATATAGTTTGTTGTTGCGTTTCGCATTGTCCCGTGAGCTATGCGTATTTACGGATTTTTTTTTTCATTTTACCAAGAATTGAATTACAATGTTTGAATTTTAGTCACTAAATTTTAAATTGCTTTAAAATGAAAAATGTTGGCAAAGAATTAGTTGCGAAGGTTGATTGTGTGGTTGGCGCCCATGGCTGTTTGATTGGATTTGTTGTTGATGTTTTTGTTGTTTAAATAGCTTTTGATGGTTTCTTAACTCGATCACTCTCCTCGTGTTGCTGCTGCTGTTGTTGTTGATAAACAGCCTCCCGATATTTGCTTCATTTGCGTCGACTGCACACAGTACTCCAGCCTCCAGAGTCCAATTGTGGTTGTTGCCTTGGATGTTTGTTGCTGGTGTTGTTGCTGCTGCTTTTGTTGATGTTTTTAGTAGTGGAAGCAACGTGTATAGTAGACGCAGCAGCATCATCTCACTTTTTACCGGGAGGCGCTATTGGTTGGCCGCGCTCCTTTCCACGTAATTTTATGCCAAGCACCCGCTCCATTTTGCCAAGTATCAAGTTGTTGGGTATTCCACGTCCAGCTTCATAGTCCGTAACCACCTGCTGTTTCTCGCAGATTTTCTAGATCAAATATAAAAATATTAATTAGCTTTCATTCTTCAAATTCTCTAAATTAATCTTTACCGTGGCCAAGTCCTTCTGGCTCATACCCTTGCCTTGGCGTCCTTGCTGAATTATTTTCCCAACATCTAACGGTATCTTGTCATGCCGCAATTCTTCAGTCTCACGATCCAGCTTGGCAGTGTTTTTAGTAGTCACATGCTGCTTGTTGGTGCCAGCACCATCTAAGTAGAAAGTATAAACGTGTTCTAATTAGACCTATTAATAACAGTGAAAGCGCCTTCTGAGCCAAGCTCCAAACACATTTGAAAGATGTGATAGAACTGATTCACCCAAATTACCAGTTGACCCACTGATCTATATAAGCTGAAAAAATCAAATTGAAGAAACGCACTTCTTATTACACCAATCAATAGGTACATGCATTATCGTGAAGAAATGATATTAAGCTATCTTTAAACATTCTGAATCAAAAATACGTTTCAAGTTTGATGAGAAACTGATTCATGAACTGAAATCAAAATAAGAGAACCTACCCCATTGGCATAGATTCACATTTTCAATAGAGCAAACGAATAAATACATATGCAGAAAGTCTGCTCTTAATCATAAATTTGAATTTATTAATTTAAATAACATTGTTTCATAATTCACTCCACATTCACTCAATAGTTAGCAACTCGCATTTCGTCATTTGCAGCTGTATTTCGATTGCAGATCAGCGCAAGACAGTGGCCAAAATGGCCGGCTATCATTTGATTGAGGAGTCGCTCAGCTTTCAAAATATTGTGAAATGTAAAAGTAATGCGATATTGGACTATTCACGTATACATATGTACATACATGTGCACCTACATCTATACACACACGCCACTTTTAAGCCGAAAAAAATACCACAAAAATAAATTCCACGCAAATCACATAGAATATTGCAGCAGTCTCAACTGCACCTCCCACCAACCGCCCCTACCTAAAAATAAAAGAAAAGACGTTGCTGCCTGTCGCCGTCAAAGGCTTCGTTTGGTTACTTTGGCTGTCTTGCTTTTTGTTTTACTTACATTTTTGCTGCGTATCAACGGCAACACCTTGGCGGCGTGCTTGATTAACAGCTGATTCGGTCTTCAATTGGCTAGACTTTGGGGCCTTTTTCCTTAAAACAGTTACCGTATCCCAGTCCGACATCTTTTTATTTTTGTACTTCGTAAATATGAAAAAACATTAACGTGTAGCAGAAAACGTGCAGCACATTTATATGTATGACAAACGACTTACTTTTGACTGCTTTGTTTTTAATGCTTTCCTTAAGATGAATATATATAGTGACTATTTTGTAATTAAAACTAAAAATTCCAGAACTATCTATATGTATATTTCTGTGAAATATCTGTACGGTGTGACTCGAGGAGTCGTATGGTTGTTTGGGAAAAGAACTAGTTCGATAGCTTTTACGTGAAGTGGTTAGTGGCTGAACGCAATTATTCTACTCAGTTGATGTTGGCTGCGCGCAATTCGGAGCGAACCCTCGATTGGCTTAGCGCACCACCGTCAGCTCGTGTTATTTGTTCGTTATTTGAGTGCGGTCACTCTAGCTGCAGTCGTCTTGAAAATTTTACTTAAGTCTGTCGGGTACGTTGTGTCGTGCGGGTGGTTCATTTTTCTGTGCGTGTGTGTGTGTGTGTGTGTGAGTGTAATTGGAAAAATGCAAAGATATAGATAACTTCAAAGCTGCACTTACACACAGCTACAAAGAAAAAAGAAACGAAGAGCAATTTCAATTTATGGTTCTGTAAATGCAAAACATGCGAGACGCAGACGCAGCAGCACTGCGAAAGACGTAAGACGGGCAGACAAAGTGCATTTTAGGGCGTGTTTGTAAGCCCTAGCCAGACTCCCTCCACTTCAGTTACCCCCTGAAAGCACTGGCGCACTCAACAAATGAAACAACACAAATAAAAACCTAAATTTTATTTGTCTCCTCACATATGAAAAAAAGTTGAAAGAAAAAATCTGATTGGTAATTTCGCAACATCCTTGAATTTTGTCTACTCTCAATTTGCAAATTGGAGTAGCAATACAAGTGCGTGTGCGTGTGTGTGTGTGTTAGTGTATGGAGAGCGCATCTCGTGAAAGAAAGAAAAGAAACGACGACGCACGAAAGAAAATGTGTAGAGCAGCAAATTAAAATAAAGCAAGTGCTAATGCGATAAAAAAATTATATATATAAGAAGAAGAAATTTATTGCAGCGCAGCTAAAACGAAATTGTGGAAAAGAAATATAGAGTAAAATAAAGAATAGTGCATTTGGGGTGCATGTGATTGGAAGGATGGGCGCACAACAGGGCAAGGAGCGCGGCTCCCATTCGAGCGGAGGGGGCGGAGGCGGTACCGTAAGCTGTATTGGTGTTGGTACTAGCAGCAGCCCCGTTGCATCCGGTTCTCCGCACTGCATAAGTGGCGGCAACAGCGGCGCATCCGTTGGCGGCCTGAGCTCCAATTCCACTTTACGCAATTCTCGCATGAAGTCACATCAATCTTCAGGACATGGCAGCATCAATTCAAGTGGTTCCTCGGCCCATCGCAGCGGTGGAGGCGGAGGCGGCGGCAGCTCAAATGCGAACCACAAGGATAATCGCTGCAATCCCAGCGTTGGCTTAAATATATTTACGGAACACAATGGTAAGTAATATTGTGCCAGTTTGAACGTGGATGCATGTGTCTTGCATACAAATATATATACCGACACATACACATAAGTGTATTCTAAAAATGCATCATTACATAAATACAACTGCACTTACAATGTGTATACACTATTATATACATAGCCTTTGACAGCTCTCTCTCTCTCTCTCTCTCTCTCACTCTCTCTCTCTCTCACTCTCACTCTCTCTCTCTCTCTCTCTCTCTCTCTCTCTCTCTCTCTCTCTCTCTCTCTCTCGATACGCTCATCCACTCTCTATTTCTCTGTCTCTCTTTCCCTTTCGCTTGCTCCTTCTGCACTCTGTGCCGGCGCCGCTCTCTTCAATTGAGCCAATTTCTACTATTCATTGCTTCCGTTTTATTCGAAGAGCGGAATGTGCGCTCTTGTTGTTGTCATAACTGCTGTTGCCGGCATTGGCTATAGTGTTACTTTGTGTTGTTGTCGTAGTTGTTGCTGCTGCTGCTGCCCGCTTTTGTTTACAAGCGTAAACAGAATTTTGAGGCACGCGTCGAAGAAATGAGACGAATTTGAAATTATTTTTGAGGGCTGTTTCGACTGCTGATATTCTGCTGCTTTTAATATGTCCCCCTAACCCTCACACCCACACACCCAACACTTTTGCCGCTCAGCAGTGGTTGAAAAAGCAGCAGCAGCAGACAGCACCCCACCCACCCCGACATAGAAACTAGTCGACAGGCATTTCCTACGTTTTCCTTACTTACGCATTTTATTTGCCTTCCTTCCTCTTTATTTGATTTTCCCTTATTCCGTTGTTTGCTTTGGCAAGTTGTACCATTTCCCTTTTTTCCTCTCTCTCTCTCTCTCTCTCTCTCTCTCTCTCTCTCTCTCTCTCTCTCTCTCTCTTTGTCTCTCTCTTCTTAATGGCTTTTTTATGTTCCTGTTGCTGTCCTACCACAATAGGTGGGGTTGGGGCGTTGTATATATTAAGTTAAATACTGAGCCAATCCCTAAAGAAAAAAAACCTTACAAATGCAAGACATTTGAGTAATACATTATTTTATTAGATAATGTATATTCACTGAGTCTACATCTTCAAGCTCATAATTGACAAATGCAATTGGATAACAGCGACTGGTATTGAAATTAGCTCCAATTTGAAAAAATTGTCTTTCTTTCGATTATTTGCTTCGATTGTTGTTGCGCAGCAATTTGTTTGCAATTATAATTATTTATTTATAGGATTAAATCGTTTTATGACGAGTATTACGAGCGATCACTCTTCAGCTGATAAGCGATCCGTTTAATTTGTTATGTGACCGCATTGAGTCACAGATTGCAATTTTTCTAGAGACAGCTCAGTATGCAGTTAACAAAAGAAAAAATGAGAAACATTTGTCCGAGACTTATCAAGTACAAAGTAAGACTATATATATGAAGTTTATCTGGTAATTTATTGAAGCTACAAGTTTGATAAAACCCTCAAGAAATTGCATTCATTTAAATATATGTATGTATATATGTACATTTGTATATTAATAAATGAAATACTAACCACACAAATTAGAACTTATATAAATGAATGTATGCTTTTTTGTGGCATCAAATAACCCACAGCGCAAATAAAAATAAAACAAAACACGTTTCGCGCTATTTATCAGTAGTCAACTCTTTGTTCGTTCTACGTGAGCAGCATACTTGCCTTTGTAGCTTAAAGTTCAGCGCCGAACAGAAAACTAACCTACGTTTTCCCACACGAAATGAATCAAGTAAATTGCAATCGAATGCTGAAATTCACATAGAAGATGCAATATTTGATGTTGTTATTGTTGTTGCTATTACAAAATTACATTGTTAAATTGTGTGTCTCTGGTAGACGGATTACAAGGCAGCAACCGCAGTCGCGACCAGGTCGAATGCGACAGACCGAATGGCAGCCGCGGATTCAAAATGAAATCACACACAGGCAGAGTGAGAGAGAAAGAGATGGCCTAAGAGAGCGAGAGAGACAGCTATAAGTGTTGGCACAATAAGGCACAGTGGGCACAATGGCTAGATCCCTGGATTCTTATGTAACATGTTTATTATTATTGTTGTATTTTGCATTTTGGCCATTTGTATCAAATGGAATGGAACTATTAGGATAATAACTTTATTTTTTGTATATATAAAAAAAATACACATTTCGTCACACTGTATGATAGTTGTAGGCGTTGCCTTTGCACATTGGGAGCTATGCGAATAAAGTAAGAGCAGAGCTTTACGAGACGCTGTAATTAGATATGTTTTAGAGGCAATAGAGCAATGAGGAGATATACAATTGGATATTGCATTTTGGATACCGCTGGGAAAGAAACGACGACTGCTTCAGAAGAGCTGTCAATTGCAAATAGTTGAGCGTTGGGTGTGGGAAACAGCTATGCGGAAATGGAGAAGAACATGAAGGGAGCAGAGGGGCAAGAAAGAGAAGGAAAAGGAGGGGGAGGGGCAGAAGTAGAAGGCGTCGCTGTCTTTTCTTCGCTTTTGGCGACGCGTCGCCGTGTCTCAAAATAGCCTCGAAGTGAGTTGCAAAACTCCTTGAGTGTGCAAAGTGTTTGTCACTCTGTCTATCTCTCCCTGTCGCCCTCTTTCGCTTTGGTAATGTGAGTAGCCTAGACGGACGAAGGCAGCAGGCGGGAGGAGGCGTCAATGGCCGTTGGACTGGACTCTGCTTTTTGCTGTTTACTTGCAACATGCAAGCGGCAAATTATGAGACGAGGCAAATGAACTTTTCACATGGCTAATGGACGCCACACGCACAGCCACTAGATGATGATAACTGTGTGTATGTATGTGTTGTGGACACACGGCAAACAGGTGACGCGTGTGTGGTTGACTTTGCAGCTTTCCCACTCGTTTACAATTATGCTAATATATATGTATAAATATCATACTGATATAGTTATTTTCAAAAAAAAAAACCGGCATGGCCATAGGATGGATGTTAAAGAATTATTATATAATTTTAAATAAATGAAAAATGCTGCAGAACTTTAAATAACGAACTCCATATTTAGGAATGCCAAACAGCTAACAGCGCATACAATTGACAAAAGTACCGTGTTGCAGGCGTTACGTCTCCTCCTCCTTTTTGTGACTTTCTTATATTTGCTTTTGCCTTGCAGCCGATGCATTTATTCTATTATTAGCCGCCTCGTATCTCAGGCTTTTTCTTTCTCTCTTAGTTTCTTTTTATAATTTTCTTTACTTTTACTTCGACTTCGAGTCGACTTCGTCGTTGCCGTTGCCTGGCATTTCCTGGCATTTGCCAGTTCCACCAAAGTGCCACTCAGCGTCATCATTATTATTGTTTTTGTTTTTGTTGCAGTTGTTGTTACTGTTCCATGTCGCTTCGTTGCTTTTTTGGGGCCAAAGGGCTGTTTTCGATCAAGCTCGTAAATCCTTTCGTGCCTCGCTTTGCGTGCATTGCAATGCACTTTGATGTTATTTATAGAGCTCAATGCCAGTCCCAGCCCGTCCCTATCTTCTGTTTATTGTATATTCACTGTTCTATGTTGCTCTACAATCCAATAGGAACATTAATTCAAGAACAACCAGCTGTGCGTACAAAGTCTAGTTAGTATTTGGAACATACATATGTAAGAATATTAATAAGTTGTCACTGCCACTGCTTACTGATCTCCAATCGAAAACGCTCCAATTGGAAATTTCAATTGGAGTATAAATTGATGTTTACAAAGCTGAAAATCCAGATTTCTTACATTCAGCAACTCACATCAACACTCAGAATAAAATGTACATCCAACAATAGAGATTCATATACATACATATACACATAATATCAATCACTACCTCTGTTTAGCCTTTTCTCAAAATAGTCCTCAACTTTATTTTTCAACATTTTCCTTATTTCATGTATGTATTTCTGTTAATGTAATTCCTAGCGCATTTTCTAAATTGTTTTTTGTTTTTTGTTTTTGAGTTCTAAAATATTTATTTTTGCACTCTCAGTGGAGCGTAGTACACGCCCACCACAGCAAATCAAAAGCCGGCTCCTCCCTGTAGCCCATTTTGGGAGCAGGTTTTCATTTTATGCAGTTCCCTTCGAGTTGTGCGCCTCATTGAAAATTGTTTGCATAAATTAGCTGACAAAAAAAAAAAAAAGAGAAAAAAAAAAGAAACCTGGAATGAGGCAGCCAATGGAATAGTCAAACAACATTTGTAAACAGCCCAAATATCCAAAGAGAACTGAATATTTGTTTAGCAATAGCAGCTAAGGGGGACAAAATAGGGGGCAGGACGGTGGGGCGTTGAGGTTTGGAATGCGTCAACTAATTATAAGCGCATGAAATGCTTCACTATATATATTTAACATACACCGTTGTTGTGATTATGTTTGAGGTCATAAATTTTGACGCCAGTAGATTGATTGACAGAGCGGAGAGCCACAAATAAACAAATACACTCAGCGAAAAAGACGTGCAAATGAACGAAAATAATTTATTTATTTATTTTCATTGAAGAATTTTAATTTTCAGCAATCTAACTGCATTGACTGTTGAGCGATTAGTAAATGATATTCGCTCAGTGTATCTACGTATAAATATACCGTTTTAATGTTTATTGAGAGGGTAGATCTTACCGAATTAAACACAATATATATTTATATGCCGCCCCCTAAAAACAAATAAATATTTATGGGTATATGTATATGTTCAATGTATATACAGTGTATGTATAGCCAATTGTGTGGAGCACACACAGAGACGCACCCCGTCACGCCCCCGCCTCTCCTGCACTCTTGTGCAATTGATGTGTTTATTAGGTTTAAGCACTCGTCAGTGATCCAGTGTTTCGACGTTAACAAGTCCACAAGGTCGCGCACATTGAGCATGTGCAAAAATCAACAGCAAACTGTTTTTGTTGTTTATTATCATGCATGTATTCTATATCTTGTCTGCGTGCATACACATATGTGTAGATTTACATGCATACATATTGACATATACATTTTATG